CCCCCCCCCCCCCCCCCCCTCCCTCGCCTTCTACCCCGTTTTAAGTGCTGTGGACACAAAGCCGTGTTAGTATTCATGGTGTTTGTTTGCAGAGGAGCTGTGTGTGTCAGTGTGTGTGTGTGTGTGTGTGTGAGTGTGTGTGTGTGTGTGTGTCTGTGTGTGTGTGTGTGTGTGTGTGTCCAGAGCTGTCACAAACACAGATCACAGCGAAGCAGCGCTCTGAATGGAGCTGGAGAGAAGGGGGGTAGGGGGTAGTTCCCACAGGGGAGAATGGTCAGCTCCAGAAAAGAGAAAAGAAGAAGAAAAGGAGGGATGCGATAAGGGGGGGGGCAGTGCACAAGGCCACAGGGGCAGAGGGAGACAGCATGGTGTCAAAGCCAAGGGGAGTGTGTGTGTGAGTGTTGGTGACAAGCAGAGGGAGAGAGAGAGAGAGAGAGGATCATATCAATCATAATGTTTCAGAGGGAACTAGTTGTTAACGGGTCTAGGCACCTCTCTTCTTGTTTTTCTGCTGGTCCTCTTCTTCCCTCCCTCTCTGCCGCTCTCATTCTTTCAGTAACCCCCTCCCTTCCCATTTCTCCCTCTCCGTCTCTCTCCCTCTGTCTCTCTCTGTCTCTCTCTCTCTCTCTCTCTCTCTCTCTCTCTCTCTCTCTCTTTCTCTTTGTGTGTCTCTCTGGACAGCTGCCCAGTTCCATACACAGGGAAAAATGAAACACTCTAACCACCGGGCGGGCAGCCAAATAAAAGGCTGCGAAAAACTATTTGAAGGGCAGGGTGTTTGTGTGTGTCTGTGTGTGCGTGCATGGAGTTTGTGTATATGTTTGTTGGTGTATATGTGTGCTGGGTTGTGAGATTTGGGTGTGCCTGTTTAGGGTGTTCTTTCCCAGTATAATGGTGCAGCCAGGGTGCTCTGTGTGTGTGTGTGTGTGTGTGTGTGTGCATGTGTGTGTGTGTGTGTGTGTGTGTGTGTGTGTGTGTGTGTGTGTGTGAGGGAGAACTTCCACTCAGAGTTTCAGTTTATTCAACAGTGGAAAACGAGAGGCTGCATGAGAGGAAAGGACAGGAGAGGCCGTCACATACCTCCCCTCACATCAAATTGGAGTTCAACTTTTTACATCCAGATCTCCTTTTACAGCAGCCTGCTAAGTGCAAACGTTACATTCAGACACGCGCACACATGAAGTTGTCAGTAAATATATGCTGACTCATTTGCAAAGTGCCTTTCAGTTGGGTGACTGCAGCACTTAGTCACATATTATCCCTGACCTTATCTGACGGTTACATCACCAGTGGAAAGGAATGTGCAGCTCCATATCTGCCTGCATTCGGGTGTTGGAGAGCCTGTGTGTGACTGGCACCGGTCCATGTTGTTACAGTGCTGACCCAGAGGAAGACATCCTAGAAATGGTTGTTGAACTAGCTGTGGAGTACGACCCTTAACCCCTGAATACAGCCCTGAGAGCCTCGAGTGAGGGAGAGTGCATCAAATGGGTTCAGGACTAAACATGCCTTGGGTCTGTTTTCTGCTGGCCTTTCTCCTTATCTACATTTGATCAGAGGGGAGAAGAAGGACAGTGTGGAAAAGGTTGAAGCCTCACAGCTATTGTGCTTGTGGGCCGCTCCAGGGTCAGAGTCCATGGCTAGTGCTGATTCTCCTGACCGCTGCCCCCTGCTGCAGGCCACCAGTAGCACAGTCGACTATTTAATCAGCACATGACATGACAGGAGCAGAGTAATGTACTGTATGCACAACAGAGAAAAATCTGAATCAATTTGTTAAGCACAATGTTTTTTTCTGTGGCATTGGTGAAGCTGTGTGGAGACTTGTGAGTTTTAAAACAAATGATAAGGACAACAACTTCAATACAGTGATAAAAGGGCATTTCAAAACATGCAATAGAGAAAAGTGCACAGCACATATCACAATATTGGGTAATTATCATATGACAACCTGTCAAGATGTATCAGTGAGTTAGGTTGACCCAGTCTAGGGAAGACAACGAGAATAAGGAGTTTTTTTCACACCATGATTACTACAACAACCACGGGAGTACCTCAGTCCATATGACCACTATTTACATCAGCTTGTATAAATATAAGAGTTTATTTTTTCCTTGAAATGCCTCTTGGAGTGTGAGAGGAGGAGAGGAGCAGAGAGGGGGAGAGGGGAGGAGAGGGGAGGAGAGGGTTGTTGAGGGGCGGAAACTCAGAACAAAAAACTGAACTGGTGCCAATAACCCAACCACAACCAGCAGGGGGGGGGCTCCCTATTTCTGTTTGTGCACTTCTATCTCTAGTAGGAAAGGTGTCCATGCCTCCTCTTTTTATTATCTCTCTCTGTTGGTTTTGTGGTAGGTTTTTTTATATATATATATGTGTGTGTGTGTGTGTGTGTGTGTATGTCTGTCTCACTCTAACCACCTCAATCTCCCTGTCCGTCTCTTTTTCTGTGGCCTCCTTGAACCTGAAACAGCAGGTATTCTAGGACAGGTTAAATGAGAAAGCATGTGTGTATCAGGTGTCAGTCATCTTATCTTTCAGTGGACTCACAGCGTCTCCTCTCCAGTGTCACTGTGCACACACACACACACACACACACACACACATTCACACGTATACACTCAAACATACATCTCAGAACTGAAAGGGTACCACAGCAGTCAGTGTTCAGGAGATAAATGAGAGCACATGTATTTTCTGCCATGGTTAATCATTTACGCCGCTCAGTGTTTGCTTGTCTGTGTGCAGTGTGTGTTTTCATCCATGTGCTGGGCATTCACGTGTGTTATTTTACGCTTCTGAGTTTTTGCAGCTTGCATCTGGCCGACAAACAGCTTCTGCAGCCAGTGTGGAAGTACAACATTAGTCTAACTGCCTTAATACTGATGGGGCAGCAGAACGAGAGAGAGAGGAATGGATAGTGATAGAGAAAGGACTCGAAAGTGGCTAATGAAATGAAGGCAGAACAGGACATTGGCAGGATCAAACATAGAAGAGATTAATTGCTTGTTCTTGCAAATATGTGCACTGTGATGTGAACTGCGTACATTTTATGTTCCATTACTGTGTGTGTGTATAAGTGTGTGTAAATCTGCAAAGAGAGAGAGCTAATCATCTGGCACGGTGCCGATCCATCGAGACTAAAATTGGATGCCTGACTGTGTTACATTAGCATTTTGTGCAACTATGTGTGAGGCCAGGATTTCATAAAGCCTTTGAAACGTGTACATCTACTGTATGCATGTGTGAGTGTCTGTGTGTGTGTGCATGCGCGCCTGTGTGTGTATGCTGAGAGGTAGGCCTGTGGTTAGGTTACATCTCCCTGCAGCGCAGCAGAACAGTGTCTTGTTGCGTCATACTGAGTCTGTTAATAACAGGCTAAACCACAAAGGCCATCCGCTGCTCTATTTCTCATCTTCCAGCAGTGCGCTTATTATGCAGCAGTGATACATTAAGCTGGGTTATATTGTCTAATACAGTATATTAAGCTTTTACATCTTCAGTTTTACATGGACAAATGTAAACCGGTGACTGAGCGAAGGTTGACTTCAGATTTGAGGCCCATCGCTGGAAAAATGTCTATAAATTGTTCAATAGTTTCAGGACATAAATTGTATAAGCAGTTTAGGGGTTGGTCAATATGATGATGATTGTAAGTTACAGTTGTGAACAGTGCAGGAGAGTTATGTTATGATGTTATATCATTGTGGGTCTAGGGCAGTCACGGACACGGCTGAGCTAGGCTACTGTGTTTAATACCGTGTGCAGTCAAACACCCGCAATTCCATCCCCCCCAGCTCTCACAGCATGCTACATCCTTGACACAGGAATTGAATTGCTCTGTAAACAAGCCTTTTGTTTAGTTGCACACTGTTTGCTCATGCACACAAGATGTATTAAAAGCTTCAGTCCTGCCGTGAGTGTCATATCTGACCACAACAAATCACTGATTTGGAAGGTGCTGACAAAAAGAAACTGGATGCAGAACTGGATTCTGTGCGACACACTGTGTGTATTATTTATGTAGGGATAGGCTGATGTTATGAAGACATGAAATAGAGTATTAATAGTTTTATGACCCCATCATTGTGATGTCATTTGTCTATCCCTGCAGCTATAAAAAGCTGTCTTGTGATTGCAGTTTGTATGTAGTAACCAGTCTTTGTTTCTCTTTTCTGTCGTCCCCAGACATACGAGCGCCAGTTCAGAATGCCTGAGCAGAAAGAGGGAGGCCTGCTGCAACTACTGGGAGATCACACTCTGCCCAAACACCAGCTTCGCGGCTCCCTCCCTCCTGCACACACACAGCAAACACATCACACCCTCACACAGCAATTCCTACACGCTCATGCACATCAACACCAAATCAATCCAGACTGGATCACATCTTCAGCACCTTCTGCATCCCCGGCCAATCCTGCAGATTCTGAGCCATTCAGAGAACTGGCAAGAGCCAATAGGAGCTCTTCGCTTGATCCAACCCAACCTTTCTCACGAACAGCTACACGAAGCCCCTCACCTCAGAGATCCCTGACTCCAGACCTGCAGTTGCCAGTGGTTACAGATGCCAGTATTCTCAACCTGACCTCTCTCAGCAGGTATGAATCGTTCTCTTGTTAGGTGTTATCATGATCCAAACATAAATACTGTACACTGCACCAGGGATGGGAGAGAGTCGATACAATGCTGTATTGTCATATTTTGTGTAGCAATATTATATACTTTCAGGACAGTGATTCTTTTTTTATTTGTCTCATTTGCTATTATAATGGAAATTTAAAGGGGGAAGTGAAAACTTAATTTCATTTGGTGAAACAGACACAATTGGGATTCAAGTTAGGTAATAATTGAATTGCAGGATATATTATTGTATAACACAATAAAAGTAAAAAAAATGTGGTACATAGTGTTTGTAAATTAGAAAACATGTATTATCTCTCCCTCCATTCCACTCACCATTCACCATTCTTTCTCTGTATATATCTCTCCAGGGGGAGGGGGTTGCAAGAGGTCAGTGAGCAGCTCTTTGGAAACATCAAGAGGAAGTACGGCAGGAAGGACTCCCAGAGGACGCTCTGTAATCCCCACAGTGCTGATACACCTTGGGGAAGACAGCCAGAGAAAGGATCGGAGAGCCCAACTAATTCAGAGGAGAGGCAGAAGTACAGGCAAGAGGAGACAGCCGAGGGGGTCCATGAAGATAAAGAGGAAAGGAAAAAAGAGGAGAGAGAGCGAGCGATCGTTGGGAGGAGAGGAGATGAAGAAGACAGAGGGATGCCCATGCTGACAGAGGAAGGGAAAGGAAGAAAGAGGCGGAGGAGGCCTTCTTTTGACGAGTCATTTTCTGCAGAGGAGCGATTACAGCAACGACAGGACTCTGACACTACAGAGAAGCACCAGCCTGGGGCCCCAGAACCCAAAGTAGCACATAAGATGGAGACTCACAAAAACGACTCTCGACTCACAAGTCTCGCCGATGTCAGTAGAGAGCGGATAGAAAAAGCAGAGAGAACAGATAAAGGCGATAAAAGAGAAAAGGGAGAGAGGGTAGACAGGGCAGAAAGAGGAGAGATAGTTATAAGCGGGTCTGGCCCAGAGTCAGCTTTGAGTGCAAATAGAGTGAAAAAGAACCCTGTGGGTCGTCCTAAGATCAGCACAGACACCCTTAAACACAGAGAGATGGCTTATAATCACATCAACAAAGCCAATCTTAACACGAACCCTAGACTCCCTAGCCCAAACCCCAGCCCCAGGGGCAGCATCAGTCCGAGCCCGAGAGCTAACATTAGCGCCAGTCTCAGCCCCAAACCCAGGGCGGCCTTGAGTCCCAGCCCCAGCCACAGCACCAGCTCCACAGCCAGTTCCAGAACAACCAAGGCCAAGGACAGATGGTCCTACCTGAAAGCTAAAAGCCATGCCAGCCTCACATCACCCCAGAGAGACAACCGGGGAAGCCCCTCGACCTTAGCTGACCCACCTTCAGCCTTCCCCATCACCCCCTCTAGCCCCCTCTACACCAACACTGACAGCCTGACCGTCCACGCACCTATTAAGAGGAAACGAGGACGACCCAAGAAACAGCCACTCCTAACAGTGGAGACCATCCATGAGGGCACCTCCACCTCACCTCCAAGCCCACTGGCACAGGAAACCTTTGCAGGGCTAAACCGTAGGAGGAAGACACACACACTAAACACATTAGTGCAAATGGCCTCCACGACCACCAGCGCCAATTCTAATAGTCTGAAACTAAAGCGTGGTAGGGGCCCTTACAGACCAGTCAATAAGATGAAGCTTGGGAAAATGCAAAGCATCCTGAATGAGATCCTTTCAGGTTCCAGTCAGAACGGCACTCTGGCTCTGAAATCATCTTCTGCCCCTGTTACCTCAGCTATGAGTGCCATGGCTTCCACTATTGAGGCTCGGCTGGGAAAACAGATAAATGTCAGCAAGAGAGGAACCATCTACATTGGTAAGAAGAGAGGGCGGAAACCCAGAGCAGAAACCCAAGGCTCCAATCCTCCCAAAACCACTCGGGACAAGCCCCCCCTGTCTGTCTCTATATCCAGTCTCTATGAGAGCCCTGTAGTGCCTTCGGCCACCCTGTCTCCCAGCTCCAGTGCTCCATCCTTAAGAACAGGCCACTCTGATGCCACTATGCCCAGTTTACAGCCCATCTCAGCCCTGCCCTCCAAACCACCAGGCAGGAGCTTCCTCTCTGGCGGATGGAAACTGTCTCCTCCACGCCTTCTGGCTAATTCACCTTCCCACCTGTCAGAGGGGGCATCAGTGAAGGAGGTGACCCTGTCCCCCATCAGCGAGTCCCACAGTGAGGAGACTATTCCAAGTGACAGTGGGATTGGGACAGACAACAACAGCACCTCAGATCAAACTGAGAAGGGCTCCGCCTCTCGACGCAGGTAATTTTACAATCTTGAACTTTCATTTATATTCTTTTGTTGATTTGTATTTCAGACTGACATATATCCATAAATGTGGTGGTTTTAATGTGTTTTAATATTTCATGTTGTGTTCATACAGGTACTCGTTTGATCTGTGTGGGTTTGAGGCTGCGGAGGCAGCAGCCCTGGAAGCATCCAACAGAGGGAGCAGAGCACGCTGTGAACGGCAAGTAACTGCTGGTGACAACTTCCTGTCACAACAGGAAAAGAAGCAAAAACATCATCGACGGAAGAGGAAGTGCCTACAGAGTCGGGATCATCTTCACTTTCTCTCTGAACTGGAGGAGGTAAGAAACACAATAATAAATGATGTGTGTAATCTTTGACCAAGCACTGTAATGTGCACGTATATGATGTATTTTTCTAAATATTTCCTTTTTTCTACCTCCCTGTAGGTTGTGGTAAAGCTCCAGCAGCTCCGAGTGTCTCACAGACGATACACCTGCTTCCCCCAGCAGCCATATCCCTCCATTTTCCGCCTCAACTTCCATCATTACTATCCTGTTACCTACGACTCCTACTCCTGTGACTCCAGCTCGTACCTCCGCAGGAGCGCCGATCTGAAGGCTAAGAGGAGACGCGGCCGTCCAGCCAAAGCCAGCGAGCAAATCACATCGAAGCTGCCTTTCGTTCAAGGATATGGTTATCCACTGGCAGGGGGAAATTACTATGCAGCACCGTATGCGATGCCTTACGCACCTCCTCTGAGTCTGGGCTACTTTCCCCCTGCTCCCCCATTTTACCTGCCCCACCACTCGCTAGGACCTGCACCCCCTTCTCCCTTCATGAGGCCTGCTGTCCCCCCTCCTAAGGCTTTCCACTCCAGTGGACACTCACAACTCCAACCAGGGGCCAAGCTTCGCAGCACCAGTGGCCCACTCCAGGGGCCCTCTGTAAGAGGAGAGGGCCTGGGATCCCTGGGCAGTGGCAGTGCAGGTGGTATTGCTGGGGTTCGCCTCCATAAGAGGAAGCACAAGCACAAACATAAGCACAAGGACGAACCCCTTCTTTCACTGCGAGATCGGCAGGAGTTGGGTGGGCTCTTCAGCGGAGCAAAGACCAGTGCACGCCTTAGCATGCTGAGTGACAGGAGGGACTTGGTCAGTCAGGGCCCTTCAAAGCATCTGGAGAAGCAGAGGGGCAGCGGTAGAGGCTCGAGCCTGGGATCCAGCTTAGGGATGTTTGAGTCGGAGCAGCTGTCCACACACTCTCTCGCTGACAGCCAGTTCCACTCCCGTCAGACTCGACAGCCAATAAATAGCTTCATGAGCAGCTACAGTAGCCAAACCCAGCGGTCAGAGTCAGCTTCTGACCTTTTTTTGGGTTCACGGGAGGACGAGTGTGGAGGGCGGAGCCGGAAGACGAGGCTCGCTGTGTTTGGAGATCAGGGCTTAATGTCATTCCAAACTGCCAGGCAGGAGCCAGGACGGATGAACAACTGCTCTGGTCCCTCCCACAGTGGTAAGAACCACTTACATTAGATTTACCTGTTCATTTTTAACTACACTGTGTATTTACAAAGGAGTGCACTGCCCCTTCGCCATGATTATGAAGCAAAACTTACTTACTTTGATGCCGTGTTGGAGGTTTGAGGTTAGCCCAAACTGCAATAACCACTTGATACTTGCTTGTCCTTATCTCACCAGTTCACTTATGACTATACTTCCTGTAGCTACCTCTCAATTCAAAGCATCAACATGTTTGGCTGACACTAATAGTAATATAACACAGCAATGGACCTCATTACAGATCTGATTGCAAGGCAAAGGAGTGCAGATCATAAAACAGTGAGATGACTGTCTGTTGGAGAAAAGTAGGAATATATTAGTGAAACAAAACTACGATTGACTTCTACCGTACACAGGAGATAACCACTGAGAAGTCATTATGTGACCACACAGTTAGCCTAGGAGTTTAACATCATGTTGAAATAGCTTTGACATGGGTTGCTACGTGCACATCCAGTGCTCCCTGCAGTGAGGGAACACTGGATGAGCATACCGTTAAGCACAAGATGCTGCACTCGCGCTTTACTGTTTGCATCTTGCCGTTACAAGCCAGGTAGATATAATGTTAACCTGCCAACGTTGCAGAACTTTTAATATGGCCAAATCAGGAGCAATGTTTGCGAAAGTAATTGCTGCCCACCATATTATTCTGTTCCCTAGTGATAAAGGGCTTGTTATTTGCTGCCGTTGAGACTTAATTACATATTTAGTCAGAGTTAACAGGGTTTTCCCTATTTGAAATGTAGATGGCAGCATACTCGTCAAGGTGATTCCTATTTATAAATACGCTATGTTCAGCACTAGCAGGACTTAAAGCAGACAAAGAGGCAGGGTAGCCCCAAATTCTCACTTCCAGACTAATGTGTATTTTTGGTACATTCTGTATTCTGCTGTCTTTGAGCACATCTGGCTGGGGATAGAGAGAACGTAATGCATGGATGGAGACGACTATAATTCACCAATCTCTCCTTCCTCCCCTCCCTCCCTCCCTCCCTTCCGACTCTCCTGCCAATGCCTTTGCCAGAGATATATTATTCACACAGTGTGATTTATTTTCTACAGACACGCCGTAAAAGGCCCTTGCCTGTGTTAAAAGAGCTGGCTGGCAGCCAGGGGTTTAATGACTGGGGCCTAGTCCAGTGGTGGGGAGGAGAAGCCAGGGGCTCAGTCAGAATACACCCCCCACCCCAGGGGATCTAGGACGGATGACTCATATACACACTCCCCCCCCCCCCCCCATCCCGTGTGTTGTTATTCCTCTTCCACCTTCCATGTCCTTCCCTTCTCCCCCTATTGCTGCTTCTGCAGTTCTTGCTCCTGCTTTCCTCTTTTGCCTCTCTCCCGCAATCCCCACACTCAGACTTCCCCTTGTTCCTCTTCCTCCCCCTCCCCCTTCTATCTCTCTTTCCTTCTTCCCTTTCTCTTTCTGCTTTTTCCCTTGGCTCCCCTCCCCCTCGTTCCCCCATTACCCTCTCTTTTCCCCATTCTAACTGGCCCTCCTCTAGCATGACTTACTGCCTCACTTCACAGCTTTAGCCCAATTAAAACACAGGCGTGCGTGCATACATGTATACATGCACACATAATCACACATATACACACAGTTAGATAGATGCCCATCCACATGCTGATACTAATGCATAATTAATATTATTGTCTTAGCATGCAACTGTGAGTCTGTAAATCATTCTTCACTAAAACTACTTTGTAGTGATTTGATTTTGTATGCATGTGTGTGTCTGTGCTTGTGTGCGTGCTTCTACAGCAATCAGCAAGTCTCACTGCAGCTGACAGCAATCTCTCAGATGTATATTTGCATAAAAGCAGGTCATCTTCTGCTGAATTAGTGAGAATAATTGTCTTTGTGTCACAGGACCTGTTCAAACACATGCATGCACTTTCATGCAGAGAAACACTCTCGCTAAATGATATACATCAAGGATGACTTTATCCTGTCTGGAACCTGGTCTGCGAGCATCTATCTCTGTGTAGTAGTGACTTCCTATTCCACAGAGAAACAGGTCCTCAGTGCTATACGGCCCCTCGCACTGCTGAAGGTCACTGGTTTTATGTTCCTTGTATGCAGCTCATAAATTTCTGCTACCTGTAGTGTGTGTGTGTGTGTGAGAGAGAGAGAGAGCTGAGCGTGTGCACAGCTCATAAACTACTGCTACTTAGTGCTTTCTGCATAAGACTAATTTCACTGTCTGCCCTGAATTCTTGAGCAACAATAGAGTGAGATGTTCCGCTGAGTTTTAAATGGAGGGCAGTCAGGCCTCTCTGTATTTTCCCTTTCACTTAGTTAATTAGCAAACACCTTGCCATGGAGCTATAAACTCTTAAAACTTTACATTTTCCCTTCAACATTCTGATTTGGTTTCTTTAAATGTAAAAAACATTGTGTGACAGTATCACAAATCTGTATCTGCTTGTTGTAAAATATTCTAACCCAAGATGTCATATTTGGTGAAACAAGTAGGTATATTCTCAATGTGTTATGCATCACCATTTAAACACCTTGCAACTCAGCTTGGCCATGTTTGTTGTATAAATTCAGGGCTTTTCTAGTTTATCGCAGTCACTATGTGTCTGAGCACTGCAGAAACCTGCTACATTGAATCAGCAGGATTCTGCAGAGAAAGAGGAGAGGAGATGGTTAGGGAATGGAGAAATAGCAGTAAAAGCTCAAGAAAAAAAAAAAAGACCAGGGATGTTTTATTCACACTGCTTAGGGACTGGTGGCTGATTGTGCTTTTCCTCCATTTTGGCTGTGGCTCAGTCTGAGCCCCGGGAACAGTGCCCAGGCAGAGAGGAGGGGGGAGCTACGAAACGGGACAGAGATGGGAAACAAAAAGAATGACAGCGACGGACCAAGACCAGGAAGCGGTTTCTGAAATAGAGAAGGAAATGAAATGGTGCAGTGTTACTTGTTTAATTGAAAATGAGAGAGTAGCATGTTGCTGCCTATGAAGAGCAAAGTGGAAAAAAAGAATGAGAGTGATGGGGAAACGGGGAAGGAGACAGGATAGAACAGCGGGTAAAGGGCACACTGCCCAGTTCACCGGTGTGAAGGAAACAATATGGCTCCAGTTTCTTCTGCTCAGCCATTCTGAACTGCTGAATTCATTATTTGTGCATGATGGGCATGTGTGTGCATGTGTGTGTTTGTATTTGTGTCTGTGTGAGGACGTGCATTAAATGTGTCGATATGTGTTTGGCTTTTTGGCAGCCTGTGCTCCAGATGCGCAGGGTTGTTATTGTGTAGCGACATATTAAATGGTTGAAGGAGACATTTCTGTGGGTTTCCTGCTAGCAGAATTGGATCTCCTCCTCTCCCCTCTCCTCTCTGCTCTGTAGTAGACAATTACAGGATAGGATCTGCTCTCCTGGCTCAGCTGGGCTTTGAAAGGCTTACATGAATATGTCAAAATTAGCAGGAAGCTCTTGAAGCAAAAAGAGACATTCTCACCATGAGCTAAATTGGCTTGATGTCTTTCCTGGCCTTTCCAAGGCTGCCCATTTTTACTGACATGCTAGCATAAAAACACCTTTTTTCTTTACAGACTTTAGTCTATTTATTTACATTGTGATGTCTCACCTCACTCATACTCACTCTCTCCTCTCCCAGATGTTCCCAGTAAACGGAGGTATAAGCGGCGCGAGGTGGAACAGATCCAGAAGGACGTGAGGAGGATGCATTCTTTGAACTTTGAGCATGTGCAGAAGATCCTCCGTGCCAAGCGCCTGCAGCGACAAGCCAAAACAGGAAACAATGTCGTCAAAAGACGGCCTGGGCGGCCCCGAAAACAACCCATAGAAGAATCCGAGCCGACTAATAGGAGTGTGGATAATCGGGCTGATGGTCGGGGTTTGGACATGCTGGCCGGTAGGAGAGGGGATGGGAGAACTCAGGGGATGCCTGTCCTGGAGAGGTGTGATGACCTGCCAGGTAGGCAGAGCCTCAGGTCAAGCTTGACCCCCGAGCCACTGGAGTTCTCAAATCACGATTCCATCTCAGCGACAATTGAGACTGTGGTGCATCAAGCGCGATCTGTGCCTCCACTGGCCAAAGGGGGGAAACGCAGAGGCAGGGGCCACAGCAGGGACGAGTTATGGGCTCCTTCCAGTCAGTAGACCTGCAGGAGAGAGCAACTCTGTAACCAAACAGAGAGCAGTCGTTGGAGTCAGATGCAGTGCCCTTCATTCTGGGACTCCTTGGTGCACTTTGACTTTCTCCTGTCTGATTTGTGAGGACTACAGAGGGTCACAGGAGGAGGGAACATCCCTCTGCTTGCTAAACCCAACCAGACATGAGCCTTTCAAGCATTCATTGGACCTTCATTTGCAATGGCACTATATGGTACTGTTTGATACTGAATCTGATGCTATAAAAGTGTGTGGTACTTATGATAGTGTAGGATATTATGTGATTCTTTATGTATCTGATACAGTGATGTGTATGGTACTTTATGATACTGTATCTGAATGTGGCTTTAGCCATATATTTACCAGCAAAGGGGAGGGGGAATGGTTAATATTAAACTGTGCAGCTCTGCTTATTTTTGCCTTTCTGTGGACGCTTGTCAAAGACGTGGGATAAAACAGCAGTAATTAAGCCACCTTACCCCTTTACTTACCCCTGTGTATTGCTCACACCCTTATCTGTACCTTCCTTGTTTTCTTACTCTCTCTGAGGAGTAACTGATACTTGCTGGCACTCTCCACGCCCGTCACTCTCCCCAATTCTTTAGCTCTCCCTGGTCCCTGCCGCTCAACTTCATCTGCCTTTATCCTCTCATCTACTCCCAAAATCCTAATTTTCATTTTCCCATTGCTTGTGCTCCTTCAACCTACCCCGTGTCTCATTTAATTCTCCCTCCCTGCTCAGGCCTGTCCTGAACAGTGACATATAGGCAATATGGTGGATGAGACTGTCCCAGACTGTACATAGAAACAAAGTCCACTGTTGCCTGCCTTGTACAATGAGAAACCAGCTCATAGACATGTATACATGACATACAGTATATCAAATAGAATTGTTGTACCATAGACAATGAAAGTTGTGTATTGTTTTATAACCAAAAGCAGACATGGGTGCGACTCAAGACAAGTTTGTTTTCAGACAGAAAGAACCACATATATTCATTCATACACTCATTTATGTGTTTATATCCAGGGGGCATTGCATACAGGAAAAATATCAGGTGTGTTTTTGGTAAACCTTAAAATTGGTTTATTGCACTATGAAAAACCATACACTTGCATCAATCAAATGCAGCACTTACATGCTTGTTCCAGCCTTATGTTTTGGCCTTCAATGGTGTGGATATCCATTCCAGAGAGCACGCATTATTTTAATCAATTTGTATATGCAGGCTGCGCAGCCAAAAGCGTCAAACCGAAGCCCGAGTCTGAAGTGTGATTGGACAGTTCAGCTGAAGAGGGCTCACAGTCAGTGTTTTCGAAAAGCTAATCCCAGTCTTTCTACCTGATTTGTTTGAACATGATTTTCAATCCATATCCTTGGAAATATTTTTTTGAAAGTAAATCCAGTATTTAGATTTAGAAACCAAAGTCTCAGTATTCAGTGTGAGGATGTATTATTTAAAGAATCTAAATCAGAGTTTGACAAACTCTCCACCATGTTGGCACCAATGTAACGCATCCCTGTGTGCACTCTAGAATGTAGCCATCTTGAATCTTTGTGTCAATATGTCAAGCCTTTGTTAAACTCTATCTACAGTATCTGTGGCTTTGGGTAGTGGTTGGTATTTTCTCAAATAAGTATTTCAAAATATAAGCAATGGATCAGTGTTTCTTTAGCAACTTTGTTAAAGTTTTGTTTCAGGAGATTCCGTTTTCTTTGGGTTGGGTGGGATTCTCAGCTGCAGCGGTTCAACTTGTGCCTTATGTTTCTTTCTCTCACCAGTTACATTTGACCTGAGAAATATCAAGTGGCAAAGAGTGCCCCCGAAATTGACCCAAAATATTCATGATTGTGTACATGACGTGTCTTAGTCATCAGAACCCTGACACTGCCTGTGTCCATTCAAAGCTTCCGTAGTCAGCATCCTCTGTCACCAGCTTCCTCCTAGTCTTTTTGACCCACATCATCATAACAGAGCTAGAAGGGCAGGACAGATCAATATAATATGATATTACTGTGTTGAATACACGCCATGTACTGGCCTACATTCTGCTTTGCAGCAGTGATGGAAACAGAAAGGTCCACTGTATCAGACGTGTTTCTATCCAGAGGTATTGATTGTACTGAATGTCCCAGATACAATTGAAGATCGTTTGCTCTGCCCAGTATGTAACCTGTTATTTGAACCAGATGACTGGTTATGTACTTGGCAAAGGAGGAACAGAGGAGGTTGTCATGGAAACCCCGTTCTCCTACATTGTTTGCTATGCATCAGGCCACATCTGGCAATGACCTGAAAAGGAATTTCTGTTCTGGGTCCACCCTTCGACAAAGAGAAACAAGTGGTCTTATTTACTGAATAAAATGAATTCATATAACAAGAGTTGTGAATAATACCAGTAATAATTTGTAATAAGTTGTGCAGAAAGTGACTATCATTTCATGAAAACTATAGTGACTGCAGCTCTATGCAGTACAGCCTTAACCAGATGTAAAACTACAGTATTGGAAGTGTTTGTTGTAAATAGTGTTAGTATGTCCATCCTGCATGGATACCGGTTGGGCTCGGCTATGCTGGGACTGTCTCCTAAAACCACAGTAGACACTCTCTCTCTCTCTCTCTCTCTCTCTCTCTCTCTCTCTCTCTCTCTCTCTCTCTCTATTAAGACTGCTCAAGACCCAAGGAAACATACAGAAATTACTTCCCTAATTGATTTTCCTATTTGACAAATTCTGCTGTACATCGACAGTCATCGTTCCGGTCCGTTAAATTACACAGAATGCTAAAATAGTTTGCCTTATCACACCTTCAAAAACTCGAAGAGGATAAAAGCCTCACTGTAGTGTACTCGACCAAAAATAGGAATCCCCGCTGAAATGCAGCTATTTTGCCTGCAGCCAGTTGGGGCAGTGCAGTAGCATGAAGAGTAAGCAAGAAGGTTGCGTGTGGGAGTTGTCAGAGGAAATAGCCAAAAATACACTCATCCTGAACCTTGCTTTGCTTGATGACTTTCGGTGGGTCTGCAGTCTGTTGTGGTGAAGATGAGGTCTAGATGTGTGGTCCGTGAGGTGTAGAGACTACACGCTTGGCAGCTTACTCCATACTGTGGTCAGTCAGTGGTTTCTGATGTAAGAGTTAAAGACCCCAGGTGTTGTCTGTCCTGTCTGTCTCTTCTACCAGCCGATGCTCCGGTGCCTTCTAACACTGACAAGTATTGTCCTAATCCAGAGCTTTCACTCGTCACAGAGACTGCAGAGGGGATGTGGCTGTGAATAGGGTTCAAGGTCACTGTTGTTTGCTACTTAGCAGCCAGAACCAGTCTGGTCTGGACCAGTGGCTACAGGAGGCCCCTAAGCACTGATGTAAGGATCCTTTACGATATCTTTGGTCCTAGTATCAAGGGCAGCGCAGCAGCGTTTGACCTTAAATCAGTGGTTGGGGTGTATTTACCGAAGTCACTACAACAACTAGAATGGGATATACTGGCGCCTAAATTTTGATCACCCCCCCCCCCCCCCATTCCCTTTGTAGCATGCTGTGATGAGTGTCCTACACATGGAGTGAGGGGGTCACGTGAGACAGAGCCTCATAAATGTACATGTAGTCATCCTCACAGCATACGTTACAGTTCTAAGCTACAGTGTTGTTCAAAGCTGAAAGTGCAGATGAAGCATTGAGAAAACCAATAAATGTACTTCTTTAGAGCACAACGTGAGCTCTTCTAACAGTGTGGGCATATTTTAGTTTGTATACATAGTGTATTTGAACCTTTTTCTAGAGTGGGTTTCCTTTATTTGCATGCTCAACTTGATTGTATGCATAAATATTTTAGACAAGCCGAAAGTTGAATTTTAATTGAATTTGGAGCAAGACTTGTACATTGTTTGATATGTTTCTTTTTGTAATGAATTTTTTAATTCATGAAGCAATTTTGTACATTGTATGAATATTAAAAACTGCAAATATTTGACATATAGAGTAAATACTAGATGCGCATGTATATGCATATATCCTTCACAGTATGTATGTGTAAATGTACACATATATTTTGTATTTGCATTTGCTGGCATACAGATATATGTCTTAAGCACATATATACATGCAATATATGTGTATATCCATGTCCGCTGGCATGCTTTTGGTCATGTTTATCTTTCATGATCTTGTAGGTTCATATTTTGTTTTGTTTTTATTTCTCTTTCCTCAGAAAGAAAAGCTCATTCTTTTGCTACCCTTCTATTGGCTGGCAGTGTTGAGCACTTATTAAGACGAACTACAGTTGAAGTTGTTCATGTTATCCATTGTGTGAAATAATAAATGACTTTATTGACAGCTGATGGTGGCACATATTTCCTTCTTTCTGGTAAAGATTGGTTTGGATTTGATATTCTGATCTCCTTAAAACTGCTTTGCCACATGCCAAGGCTGGTAAGAGCCAGTTGAGACTTTGTGGCTATGGGTGTTTGTGTGGGTGTGTGCGTGTGTGTGTGTGTGTGTGTGTGTGTGTGTGTGTGTGCAGCATGCATGTCAATGTGTGTGGGAGCGAGATGACAGAAGGGTTTGCTGCATTGTTGGTGCTGACTGTCAGATGGTCCCAGTCAATGAATACTAACCTGCAATGTGTTAGCTTGTTGCGGTTAAAAGAGAGGGAATCCTCTCATTCGATTATGCTACAGCCTCACTCAGTCACACACACACACACACACACACACACACACATACCTACACGCTCTTAACTCTCGTACTTGTTCATTAGCCAAGCCTACATCTCTAAATCCTGCTTGCACTAGCCCATCAGTGTCTGTTCTATGTGGGCTGGGCTGCAGGCTGCTCTGTTATTGGATGGAGCTGAGTGGGAAGTGCCCCACCATTGGCTGCTGCCAACTAGTAAAATTCTTCTGTTACCATGGTTGCAGGGTGAGCTGCCCAAATGTGTCTCAGTGCATCTAGTGGTGCTGATGGAACCGTTGGCACTACCGGTGCTATGCTGAAAAAAATCCCCCCGTCTGATGGAAGTCAGGGCTGCACCCAAATCACTCTCTAATGATGCCTGTAGATGAGCCCCACATGGCCCCACTTCACATTGAGCACAAGAGAGAGGATGAGATGTATCACCTGTGATCACAATGAAACACATGCCGCATGAAGGGTGCACTGTTCAGCCGGAGGTACACTTACAAGGGGAGAAACGGGATTATCAATTTGATGCGCAAAACGTTGATTTAAACCAGGTTTAGTTGTAAATTACGTTTCTGTAGTTTCCTGGATCCGTTATACACAGGGGAATATTAAAAAATGACATGAAATATAAAGAGCACATGCATATTTAAAAAAAAAATCACACTGCATTTATATAAAGGTATTATATATTCCACCTGGTCAATAGGTTGATTGAGCCCCCATCCTGAACTGAAATTAAACCGTTCCAGCTATTGTTTTGCCTTCTTATTGCTCCACGTTTGTGCAACAGCTTTTCAAACTGTTCAGATTTATATAGCCTAACAATATTATAGCATCTAACAAATCTTATATTCTGTGACATCTGTGCAAGGCAGAAATACTTCAGTATAATTAAAAGTCCACAATATAAGTAAGAAATATTTGCAGAACTGGATCAGTGCTATGAGATATTATCTAGAGATACGGACTGTAATGGAAGTGTAGTGGCGGAGGTTTGTACTGTGTAGGAGGACAACAGGGCTTATAAATTGTGGTGCCTGTAGGTTTACTGTTCCCAAACTTAAACAACCTGCTTTTTAGGAAAATGTTCCAAAGATTTGGGAGAATCTTCCTTCCAAATCTTTGTGGACCAGCCTCCTTTGGAATGAAGGATTTAGGGTTGAGGGCAAGTGACAGTGTGTGCAACTAAAAATATGCATGGTCCTTCCGATCTGAGAGAAAAAGTTGATTAGTTAAATTCTTTGCGCCTCCTATATGTATATCATATATCCTGTTAGAAGTTGCACCTGAACACATGACAAAGATGCACATACATTCTGTGCCTGTGTGAGAAAAACAAAACTAGCCACCCCAAAATGTGCTGACAAGACAACACGAACACGTCATCATAATCATTTTCCTGACACTGTCACTGTGTTCTTGTCACATTATTTCTTATGGGCTGAGAATACAGGTGTGTCTGTAAATCTTTACTGGTGTTGTCAGACTGTACTGCTCATTTGTTTGTAGAGGTGAAAATGTGGTCAAACAAGAGCCAACAGGAGGCAGCAGTGCTGGACACATTGTAAAAACTACAGACATTTAACGACAGCCAGCTGCATGCCGAGCATCGCTGCCAGCCACGAGTATGATCCTCCTTTGGTGGAAGCTTTGAAGTGTATCACAGATGAAGTGGGTGGGCCTTTGGTGATTATACTCTCAAATTGTTGAATCTTCCTCCCAAATTCTGCCCACTTGATCAAACCTGCATAAATCAGCATTTCACCTCAGCATATGTCCTGGAAGCACATTATGGAAGACAAAAGGACAAGTTTGTGGAAATACATCAGAGCCCGCTTTGTTGCTGGTTTCTGACCAGTTTTGCTGACAAAGTACTACAATTCTTTTCATACCAACAGCAATCTGAAGTTGCTGTTAACTGTCATAGTTGTCCGTGTTGACTTTTGGCAATTAATCTCCATCAAATACACATACTGATATTTCTTGTTACATTATAGTGAGCCCTTTGTGTGCACCTCGAGATGTGGAGTACACAAACACTATGAAGACTCAGAAAGTCTACAAAAGTGTCAATGCAGCACTTATGTGCCATTTATGGAAAGTATTCTTTTTCTGTTGTTATTGCTTTTCAGTGTAAAGACCATCAAACTAGTCCTATGAGCGCAGAACGTCATCCCAACGTCACCTTTTATTTAAAAACATAATTTACTTCTTTCCTCACTGTGACTGCTTGATTCCTAAGTGCAGGACATATGCAGAGTACAAAAAGAAGACTCTCAAAAGTGACACTGGTGCTGACGACCTGATACCCGAGTGGTTAGGCCAAATGCCCAGAGCAGGTTCGATGACCAGGCCATTTACTACATGTCATTCCCTTACTCCTTTTCTCCAAATTTCCTGTCTCTTTCCGCTATCACTGTCTAATAATATATATATATATATATTTCTTTTTTTAAAGTGACATTGCTTATACTGCATCATTTTAACCAATTTTGTCGCTAACTATTTGTGATTATCTCCAAGTCTTAACAATTCAAATTTGAGTCAGGATGTATGAGTGAGTGCCAGTGACACCCAGGCCACTGACAACAGACAAAGCCATACATTCACAAGAGATAGTCCTGCAGTGCAGGACAACTAACCAGGAAGCCTGCCATGTAACCGCCCAATCTATCTCTGTTGCCGTTTTCAGAGGATGACTATTGCTTGTGTTTATGAAGATGGATAGAGCAGGCAACGCTCAGCTCCCTCCTCTTTCTTTCTCCACTGCACAGCGATGGGAGACACCATCTGGTGGTGAAATGTATCAGTGCGGCTCAAAGCCCTCAAAACCCTCATGTCACATCCACAGAACTGAGAGCATCATCGCTAACAGCAGTCAAGTCAGTGAAAATGACAGGCAGGCTGCACGGATGCAGTTTTCCAGTTTGAGATGGAGAAAGGTGAAATGTCTTTTATGGATTTGAATGACAAACAATCTGAACTATGACCTCAAGCAGTGAAACCTACACACTCCAGTGCTTTATTCATCTATCCGCTGAAGGGATCGGTGCAGAAATTACTGTAGCTGAAAGTCGGTAACGTCTGTGTGTGGTGCATGGAATAAAAAAAACCCCCAAAAAAAACACCAGTGATATGACAGAATGTGTTCTGCATGGAGCTGGCCACTGTTGCCACGGTGACAGTGTGACTCATGGCAGTTTGATTTGGATTTAGAGCGGTGCCCTTCTTTGTGTGTGAGCGTGAGAGGTGTGTGTGGATGTGCATAAGTATGTGTGAAAATGTACCTATCTGCGTATACGTAAATACATGCATGTATATGCTTATATTTGTGTGCTGGTGGGATGAGAGAGAAAAGGGAAAAAAAAGGGAGAATTTCCTCTCTACAGCAGAAGGGAGTAATTGTCCACCTCTCTCATGTCTCCTTGGTCACAGTTAGAGCTTTTGTTAGCAGATTGGCTCTGCCTTAGTCTTATTAATGATGCCAACACTTAGGTAATGTGCCTTTTTGATGAGAGTAAGCCACTTAATCTCTCTATTCAGGCTCCATCTCGCACACACACTCTTGCTCTCTCTCTCTTTCTCTCTCTCTTTCTCGCACACACACATATGCACACACACACCTCCCCCTCAATCCTCCTAATAAGCTGTCTCTCTGTCTCCTGTAATTTGGCAGATGAGTCTATTATATGATACAGTCATATTTTATTAATGGACCCCCGTAGCGAACACACACACCCCTTAGTGGATGAGATTATGCGATGCATAGGGAGCGTGTCTCCGTGTTAAAAATGATTTCAACTCCTCGGTTAGTTTTCATCTGCACTGTTTGTCTGCTGTGTTGTTAGTATTGGGCTGGAAGGCAGGACCACAGGCATTTCTGCTGAAGTTGGCACTGTTCCTCCGCACTTCATTACACTTCCATCAGCTCAGTGATAGCGTGGAACAGTGCCGCTTCAAAAGGCCGAAAACAGCAAAATAAAAAGCAACGTTCAATTATTGAGTTAAACATTTCGTGGAAATATTCTCGTCTCTGTCTCTCTCCGTCTCTCTTTCTTCCTCAGCGTTGTGCAAATAATTCATCCCATATGTTTCAGCAGTGCCGGGCATTTCAAGCTCTGTGGTGAAGTGCACTGCTTCAAAACTAATTTGCTCAAATGCTTCAATGGTATGTTTCCCAACAAATGCAGTTGTTTTTGAATATCTGCAGTGTTATTATAAAGTGTGCTTTTTTTGTGTGGCTAATTTCATCTATACATGATCCTATTGAGCAACTAGAGCAACGTTAACATCTTGATGTTAAGTAGGTATAATGTGATAATTTAGCATGCTAACATTTGCTAATTAGTACTAAACACAAAATACAGCTGAGCCTGATGGGACCATCATTAGTTTTACATGTATTTAGTCATAAACCAAAGTGTTTTTTAAATGAAGATAAAACTTGTCCTGAAGGGGGGACATGGACGTGTGAACCAAATGTCATGTCATTCAGTCTAATACCTGTCAATCCATTTTACTCAAAACTACAAATATGAACCTCATGGTGGCGCTAAAGGAAGGTCAGGGGATCATTGAAGTTATTGGTATTCTTCCTCACCACGAAGATTTTAGAGATTATTCCTTTTGGAACAAAGTGGTGGACACATCGAAAC